TCGCCACTCGGTCGAAAGAAGATCCCAGGACAAAAGAAGATCAAGCTGATCGAAAGGACCGAGGAAGACCCGTGATAAGCTTCGACTACGGGTTCACATACACCACTGGTGTTCCGGAGGATCGACAATGGGGCACTGCATTGTATGTGGCAGAGTCCGAGTCCAAGGCCACGATGTGCATCCCGGTGCAAGCCAAAGGCAGTGCTTCCCTTAAACAAGTGACAGAAGAGCTCACCAGGTTCAGTATGCAGGTTTGCAACACCCAGCCCATCATTTTCCAGTCTGATGGAGAGCGAGCTACACGCCAGATCCTGAGGGCCATCCAGCATGCTCGAGCCACTCTTGGCCTGACCACCGAGATTAGGATAACGTCCCGGGACCAACATGCATCCAACGGCCAAGCAGAGAGGACAGTGCAGTCAGTGAGGAAGTTAGCAAACACCTTGCGGCAGTTTGCTGAGGAGAAGTCTGGTGTGAAGCTGACTGGAGATATGCACTGTTACCCGTGGAGCTTTCGACACGCTGCATGGCTGATGCTCAGGTACAGGGTGATTAATGGTGCTACGTCCTTTGAGGTGTTGACGGACAGGCGCTATGTGGGCAAAGTAGCTCTCTGGGGAGAAACGGTGCTCTTCAAGGATGTCACAGCCTTCAAGCACAAGGGTGAGCCTGTGTACAGGAAAGGAGTATGGGTTGGAAAGAGTTCCTGGAGTGATAGCCACATTTGCCTGACGAGGAGTGGTGCAGTTGAGGCTCGATCCATTCGAAGATTACCTGATCAGTTTGATGGCCAGACGCTGATCAACTGCCGAGGTCTCCCTTGGCAGTACTCCGTGCAAGGCATCCTCATGAAGACGAAGTTTGCAGCACGTCAACGACTGGCAGACGCAGCAGAGGATGCTGTGGGTGACGAGCAGGTGGAAAAGGAGGCCAAGCTGATCGGGGAACAAGTGGCTGTTGGCATGTATGGCCATGGACCCATTGCAGGACCAAACACACCAGGTGTTCCTCCAGATGGGTACCCCAAGACTCCAGGTAAGACACCCATGGCTCCAACTCCGGCACCAAAGACAACAGCAGCTCGAACACCAACCATTGTGCCGGTTCCAGCAACACCAGCAGCAGCGGTCGCACCCAAGAGACCAGCACGTCCGGCACCATCAGGTGACAAGAGTGACAGACCGCTGGTACCTCGAGAGCTCCCTCGAATCCCGCTGGCATTGGAGGAGGACGAGAGTCCAAAGAGAAAGGTGGTGAGGCTTCCAATCCCCGAGGCCATGAGGGGTGAGCCAGCACGGAATTTTCCACCAGGACCTCACGAGGTGGAGACAAGTCCGAAGAGGCAGAGGATGGAAGAGGTTGTTGGAAACCTTGCACCAGTGACACCTCCCCTTGGAACGAAGCGAGAATATGCTCTGCCTTGGGACGATGAAGATGATGAAAAGAGAAGAATGAGCCCAAAGAGGAGAATCCAGAGCGTCCAAGAGGAATTCCCTGGAAGAGACGAGATGGTGGCCGAGGAGGTGTTGCAGCAGCAGCTCAATGGTGTCAGTGACGATGAAGACGTCGACATGAGCAAAGGAAAGCCTCCTGAAGTTGATGAAGAGGAGTTGAAGAAGCTGGATGCGGAGGCATGCAAGCATGAAGAAGAGCGCCTTGAGAAGATGGGTGTTCTTGAGAAGTTGAAGGAAGGAGAAGCTGCCGATGAGGAGTCGTATGTCCTGACATCCAAAATGGTGATCACTTGGAAGCATCGAGATGAACAAGGCGGCTGGTTCAGAAGGGCACGCTTGGTTGGGAGACAGTTCAAGTGGTCAGTCTTCACAGAGGATGCTTTCGCTCCTACATCAGCTTCAGTGGTGGTACGAATGCTCCTCCGCTTGCAGATGAAGACCGGCCTGGCTCTCTACACTTTGGACGTGAAGGATGCATTCTTGCTCATGGACCAGCCTGAGGATGAGAAAGCGATGATCGTGACCGAGAACGGCGCCTACAGGCTGAAGAGAAACCTCCCAGGTCAGAGAAACGCTGCAGCCCAGTGGTTCAAAGGGTTCTGCAGGGTGGCAAAGGAGTTCGGGTTGGTGCAGGATGTGATGCAGCCCACGATGATGAAGAAGCCTGATGGTCCAAATGAGGTGAACGAAGAGGGCAAGCTCTATCTGACCATCCACGTGGACGATTTGCTGTTGATTGGCCATGAAGCTGAAGTGGAAAAGTTCATCAAGTATATGGAGACCAAAGGCTGGAAAACGGAGAAGCGTGGCCATTGTATTCAGGTGGCTTCAACTACTTGAAGAGGGAGATGGAGCTGATTGACAGAGGCATCACGATCCGGCCCGACAAGCAGCACATCAAAGAGCTTGCGCGACTGACCAAGGTCGAGCAGAGGAAATGCAGGTCTACACCCGGAGACGGCAACTTCACCAAGCTGAGCAAAGAAGATGATCCTTTGGACTACAACGACATCACCGTCTACCGGAGTGCAGTTGGCAAGTTGCTCTACATTGCCCCAGATCGACCTGATGTGCAGTACATTGCCCAAGGTCTGGCAGCATTCATGCAGAAGCCCACAAAGAAGAGCTGGCAGGCCATGAGACACGTCAGCTCGTACCTGCTAGGTACCATAGATGAAGGCCTTTTGTTTGAGCATGGACCCAAAGGCCGAAGCATGCTGAATACTGAGGAGAATGTCTATGAGTGGGACATCAATGACGATGTGAAGGGCATGCTTGAAGTGGTGTGTGATGCTGACTATGCAGGGCAGAGAGACAGCAGGAAGAGCGTGAGCTCAGTCCAGATCTACTTGGACGGATGCCTCCTGGAGAGTTATGTGAGGACCCAGCGATCCATTGCCTTGTCATCAGGAGAAAGCCAGTATGTGGCAATGGTTGGAGGTTGCAGCGAGGGACTGTTCATCAAACATTGCTGGAAGTTCCTGACCAACGAGGACCTGGAGATGGTGTGCCGCAGTGACTCGTCAGCAGCTCGATCATTGGCTGGCCGAGTGGGTGTCGGAAGAACACGACACATTGCAGCAGGACTCCTATGGCTGCAACAGAAGGTAGGATCCAAAGAGTTGAGGGTCACTGGAATTCCTGCGGCAGTCAACACCAGTGACATCGGCACGAAGGTCTTGAGCAAAGCAAGGATGAGTGGATTGAAGTACCTCATCAAGATGGTCAATGGAGATGACGAGAAGATTGGGTATGCCGAGTACCAGGAGATAAAGATGAAGGAGGACCTGAAGAAGAACACAGGCAAGCTGGCCAAGACCCTAGGAGCAAATGCAAGAGTTGCAGTGGTGGTTGCATTGTCCCTACTCCAAGGGGGCCCAGGGTGCAGAGACAGGAGAGTTCGAGGTTGAAGAGAACGAGGGCACGGACACCTGGTGGATTCGGCTGTTGGTCACCGTGATCTGCTTAGCAAGTGTCGGGGCCTTGAGCTTGACACGGATGACCCTACAGACATTGCAGACATGGTTCAACAGAGGACGAGGCCATCAGCATCCCGTGCAACGACAAGGAGAAGTTGAAGAACGAGAAGATGCGGGTGATCCGCGTGTGAGAAGAGAGCCGGAAGAAGCCGCAGGACAACCGGAAGAGCCGCACTATGAGAATGATCCCGAGAAGGTGAACATGCAATGGCAAATAGTTCATCTAGAGGTGGCTGTGGCTGAGCAAGGAGAGAAATTGAAAGAAGCTCGAGAAGAACGCGATCGTCAAACGCGTGAAGTGGTGAGAATGTACAACATGTGCTCCGAGCTACGCTTTGAGCTTGAAGCAGTGAAGGAGGAACGAGATGAGGCAAGAAAGAAAGCCATCCGGGCCGCCGGAACTGATGATGAACGAGCCCAAGAAATGGAGAAGATGGCAGAAGATGTGGCCCGAGCATGGGAAGTTGTTGAAATGTGGAAGAAGCGGGTCACGGAATGCCAGAGACAGGGACAAGATGAACTGAGGGAACGACTGGAAGAGGCAAAGTTCACTTTAGACCGAAAGGTCTGGTACGTGGGCAGAACGAGCTCATGTTTCCACGAGCAGGGGTGTGGACACCTTGTGAACAGCACATGTGTCAGAGCCCTCAAACCGTACACACACTGCATACCTGACGCTATGGGGGCCGTGTTGAATCTAGCAGAAAGGTCATAAGGCATGATAGCATCAGGTGTGCATTAGGACTACGCTATGTATCTAGGCCCAAATCTGTGCGCTGAAAAGAGCGCGTGGTGCTTTTCATTTTTCGTATCACTCTATTACATATTGACTTGATGGCACCGCCGTACGGCCACACATGTACAAACATATCACACATATTCGTGCCTGTGCGAGCCCCAGTCGCACTCATCACTCGTGACTGCACACCGGAGTTAAGTTTCTCCATCACGGGGCCTGCACGGTTTTCTAACATGCAGGGCATGGGTATTCGGAAATTTGAATAGACCTCCCATGAGACTACCAAAAGAAACAAACTGCAGTATTTTGTTTTGAATGGATTTAGCGCTAAGTTGAAAAAGAGTTGGCAAGAAAAATCTGCGTAGCTGCATACTGCATATAGGTTACGCATCTGTATCTCTGATTGCTTTTTTGTTCTGTGGCTCGTGTAGGCGGCTTCGTTCTCTTTGTCATGATGTTGCCCCCAAAGTTGGCACCAGACTAGAAGAGCTGCGACGAGAAGAAGATTTAGCGAAAGCACGGGCCGCCCAAATTGCAGAACTCGGCAAGGAGTTTCAGTCAGCGTCAAAGTCAGAGGCCATGTATTTTTTTGAAAGTTGCCTATCCTCCAAGAACCCCTTGTCTGCAATTGCTGAGATGGGTCACTACCTAGATGCCTGGAAATTGCCAAGGGTTCAGCCATTGCTTCGTCGCCAGCGTGAACTGCTTGATGAGTTGACCGATGCCCCTGTTGTGGGCCGAGTCCACGTGCCAAGGGAGCCTGAGGAGACAGGTGGACCAAAAACACCAAGTGGGGCAGGGTCTGGGCCTGCTGAATTAAATGAAGTGATGGGTCAACTTGCAGAACTCGATTTCAGTGGTGATACATTTTGGACAGAGCTTGAACTTCTGGCATTGCGCGAAGCACGAGAAGACTTGGCTGACCCTGTTCAGAAAACAAGTGGTGGTTTCAGTAGAGCTGCTACATGTTGGGCATCCCTTTTGGCATCAGGACAGCCTTTCCAAGTTTTGCACAGCCGCCCTCTACAAATGGCAGGTCAGTTCTTGCGGAGCGTTCTGGCAAGCATTGGCGCGCCTCAAACGCCAGGCATTTTTGTTGTCTCGGTGATTGGTGCTCAATCTTCTGCCAAGTCCACTTTACTGAATTTTTTGTTTGGCAGTGGTTTTGCAGTCTCTTCTGGACGTTGCACTCGTGGCTTGTATGCATCATACTTTGCGAGCGATTCTGGGCGACCTGTGCTAGTACTTGATTCCGAAGGTCTGCTGTCACTTGGTTCTGAAGGGAGCACCTTTGACGGCCAAATTGCGATGATGTGCATGACTTGCAGTCACTTGGTCCTGGTAAACAACAAGGGCGAGCTGTCGCGACAGCTTCAGGACAGGACAAAACTCTTTCTTAAAGACAACGAAGACCAGCCAGTAACCATCTACGACTACGTCTATTCTGCACACACTTGACAGTTGGTCAAAAGGTATCATGGTCATCAGCGGCTTCTCATCACCACTAGATGCTCTAGTTCACCACCGTCAAAGTATCATTGCCCACAGGTAACCACCCTCAAGAACCCAGCGCTTCACTCGCGGGGAATATGTGTACCGCTTGACCACCAGCAAAATTGTACCAACCAGAGTGAGAGCTCGGCTTACTATGTTTATGCTCCTGTCTATTGATGTGCCCTTCAGTTCACCTACCTTTCGGACCTATCTAGTCTGCCGTCAACCCCCCTCGCAAGGAGCAAAAAGGTTGCATCATTAAGCCGCACTGGTCGAATAGCATTGATCAGCTGTATACAAAGGTTGCCTTCCACACCGCCAGCCGTAAAACCAGTCAAGCTATGTGTGGCTGAAGTCTGCACAAAGTACTGTAAGTCATTGTTTATGGGGTGTGGGTGCAGAGGACACTTATATAATGACATTGTGAAAGAACAGCTTTCGTTGCTTCACCCTGTGTAGACATGTTTGCTACATGCCTGATAGGCACAAGGGTTCAAGCGAGTTTGAGAAAAGCGCGGTGCCGCTCACTGTTTCTTTCGTTCGCCGTTCATGGCCTTTTAGATTGGTACGGCGGAGCGTCTGGCAACTTTCCAGGATGGGTTCATGGCGCCCAGTGTGGCGCCCTGGTTTGCTACATGATCACGATCATGGCGGTGACCCTTTTGGACATGGACCAGAGCCAGGGAGTGATCCCCCGACTCTGGGTCTGGGAGGGCACCACCGATGCATGGCTGACCGACTCGCAGCTTAGGAACTTCCATACTGCACAGGTGAACAACACCGTCGACATCGTCAACGGCAGGCGGTCTGGCACCCATGGTCGTGACCGAGGTCTCCAAGGGACTCGGACTGGGCATGATCCGCACGAGTGGGATGGGTGGTCGACCTCCGAGCAGAACCGGGGAAGACCCACTGAAAAGATCATCGTGCCCTCCTTTGACGGTGAGTCCGGTTCCGAACAGGACCTTGGCCGTTCCGCTCGCTCCTACATCCGGAAGGTCCAGGTCTGGTTGAGGTGCACCAAACTCGCACCCAATCGTCGAGCACTCGCCCTATACAATGAGCTGACTGGCCGGGCCTGGGTCTATGCCGAGGAACTGGATGTTGATGTCTTAGCATCAGATAGCGGAGTCTCCTACTTTTTGGAATGGGTTCAAACGAGGTTCATGGAGGTAGAGATCACCAAAGTCTCCAACATGATGGGCGACCTTTTCCGCCGCTGCAAGAGACGCCCTGACCAGTCGGTGAGGGATTTCAATGTTGAGTTTGAAAGGTTGGTGCTCCGACGCCGTGAGGTACAATGTGAACTTCCAGCCCTGGTCAAGGGTTGGCTGTACCTTGACAAGGTAAGGGTGACGGAGCACGAAGAGCTCACTTTGTTGTCCAGCGTCAACAACCAGTTTGATGCTCGAAAGCTCCAGCAAGCCGCCCTTCTACAAGATCGTACTTTGAGGAAACCCACTTTGAGCTCCACGGAGGCCGGAGGTGGGAAGGGCCGCTTTGGAAGAAAATGGCGCCACACGGTGCACATCACCGACCAGGTTGAGGAAAGCAGCGAAGAAGAGGCCCCGGCCGATGAAGATGGTTTGGTTGCTGAGGAGGTGGCGTGCGAAGAGCACCAAGCCTATATGACCTACCAGGACACCAAATCCAAGTACCGCGAGGCCCTGAAGGGCCGTGGTGCTGACATGGAAGAGATCAAGAAGAGGTCGGCTGAGCAACTTCAATTGGCCAAGCGAAGATCGTATTGCTCGGCCTGCAAGCGACGTGGACATTGGCATAAAGACCCTGAATGCCCACTACGAGGTCGTTCAACTGGACCTGCTGCTGCACCCAATGAAGCCCAGGTCACTGTGCATTCCGCACAGGTTTGTGACGCGGTGCACTCCTGCTATGTGACGGCCGAGAATGAGGCTTCATGACGCCATCGTTGACACGGCCTGCGCTCGAACTGTCGCTGGGCATTCATGGTTCGAGCGCTATGCCGACATGGCACAAGCCCTTGGCTTTGAGCTGAACGTGTTTGATCGCGAGGAGTTTTTCCGCTTTGGGGCTTCCCGTGTGTTCACTTCCTCCTTTGGAATCTTAAGGATGGACGTACCACGAGGTGCCAGTCGCCTATCTGGAGTGGGCCAACCGGGAGGTGAAGAACAACCCGAACGCCCACGAGGATTTGGTCCGGCTGGCGAATTGGGGGGTGCAAGACCTGGAAGGCAGGTCCCAAGCGGGTGCTCGTCCGAAGACATCCGATGTGGGGAGGGACCCCGAGGCGATCGCAGTGGTGCCGCCGCCGCCTCCCACAGGCTATGCAAGCAGCTCCGATGGTTCGCGGGCCAAACCCTCTCCACAGAAGGCCAACCGCAAGCTGGAGGAGGTCGACCTGACCACGGACATCGCCGAGGACATCCTGGAGGATCAGGCCGACCGGATTGCAGCGTTGGAGGCGCAGCTGTCCGCCCTGAAGAAGAAGAAGAAGAAGAAGAAGAACAAGAAGAAGAAGAAGAAGAAGAAGCAAGGAGTGGCGGGCAAGAAGCGCTGATGACCAGCGCTCGGCCACCGGAGATCTACTTGGACAGCGAGATCTACTTGGACAGCGACGACAGCTCCGACGGAGATCCTCGAGAACATCGTGGAGCTGGGATGCAGCCCTTAAGTCAAGGCCAATTGTCATCGATGAGACTGATAGCGAAGGTTGGGGCGAGAACGGGTATATGGACGGTGCCAACAACTCCCCGAAAGAGGCCATGGCAGCGATCCTTGACGACGACAATGCGACCACCAGCGGATCAGAGCGGCCTGGCAATGAGTCGCCGAGATCAAGGACGCCCCTGTCCAATGCCGAGGCTTGGGAGAGGGCTCTCTCTGGTATGAGGCGACGGCGATTTCAAGGCCGTGGCACAAGGGCTAAGGTCAGGGATGCAGTGTCACAGCTCTTCACAGTGATGGCCGTATGTGCCGCCGCCGTTGGAGCTTGGTCGCAAGAAGTGATGGAGGGGGGCTCCGGCCTACGATGCATGGGCGCTGCTGCAACCTCAACACCATTTTCCACAAGATGATCGTGCAGACTGTTTGGAACTCTTTGCAGGTCATGCCAACATCTCGGCAGCATTCGCCAAGAAGAAGAAAACCGTCCTGGAGCCCAGAGACCTCAAGTATAACCACGACTTGCGGTGCGTGGAGACCCAAGAAGAGGTGGTGAACGACATCTGGAAGTATAAGCCACGTCGTCTTTGGGCGGCCTGGTTGTCATCGAGAATCGCAGGGGGAGGCCGCTTCGGCCACCTACCCGGTGGACTTTGCCAAGGCAGTGGTCCGGGCCTTTGAGAATGATCATCAGCGAGGCAAAGAGCCCCACATGAACTACCCCACCGAGGCAGTCCCGGTGATGAGGCCGCCAAAGAGGATCCCCGGGGAGCGGAGGCCATTTCATTCAAAGGGAAGGTCAAACCGATCGTGGCGGCAACGCTGAGACGAATCCACCAAAACCTTGGACATCCACCTCAACGTGAACTTGTTCGGCGTCTACGCTTGGGTGGCGCAAGCGACAACATCATCCGTGCCGCAGAACAATTGTCCTGCCGGACGTGTGAGAAGAGCGCAAAGGCCAAATCGGCCAAGGTGACACACCCTGCAGCGGCCCTTGACTTCAACAAGGTCGTGGCAGTGGACGTCATTTGGGTGGACACCATCGATGAGACAAGCCTCCAAGCACTGAACATGGTGGACCTGGCTTCTACATACCAGGTGGTGGCGCTGGTCAAGAACACCACCTCAGAGACACTATCTCAGGCATTGATTTCCGGCTGGGTCAGTTGGGCCGGAGCTCCAACGCAACTCTCGATCGACCTTCAGGTTTCAAGGACGTCTTCCTCCAAGTGCTACCCGACAGGTCTGTCATCGTGCGGAGCTCGGCCGGCCAAGCACACTGGCAAAATGGAGTTGCAGAACGACACGGAGGAGCCTGGAAGGAAATTTGGAACAAGCTTGTCGAGGACCATGCCATTCTCAGCTTTGAGGTGGATGAAGCTATGGCGGCCACATCGCACGCCAAGAACCAGTTGTGAAACCGCAGCGGCCCATCAAGCCTTCACCACCACAGAAAAGCTTGGTTGAGAAGAACAAGACGCATCAAGCCTACCTCACCAAGAAGGCCATCTCCAAGAGAGGTAAAGAAAAGCAGCTTGAAAAAGAACTACCGTGGCACCTCATACCGCCGGAAGAGAGAGAAGAGTACAAGGCGGCAGAACTCAAGCAATGGAAGGAACATGTCGACTTCCAAGCTGTTCGGCCACTGTCCTTGGAAGAAAGTGATGAGGTCTACAAGACCGTGCCGCCGGAGAGATTCCTGAACCATGCCAAGAGGAAGCTGGACGCCAAGCTTCTGCTGAAGGCCAAAGCCAGGCTGTGTGTGGCAGGACAACACGATCCAGACCTCAACGAATCGAGATGGCCACGGATCATTCCACGGTCATCCATCATCCTGGCACTGCAGGTCGCACAGGCCAGAGGATGGAAAGTTTCCGTTGGAGACATCAGAGCTGCCAAGAGAGGCATACCTACATTGGAGCCGGGACAAATCATTGAAGTCCTCAAGGGGGTGTTCGGACTCTCAACATCGCCCAAGCTATGGTGGTTGAAACTCTGCAACGACCTGTTGGACCTGGAGTTGGAGATGGGACAAGAACAATGGAAGTTCATGCAAAACCCCATCGATCCTTGCCTGTTCCACCTCTGCGACACAGCCTGGAAGACCAGAGGGCTGTTGCTCACCCACGTCGATGACATCATTGTAATGACTGAAGCAGGAATCCTCCCTGACGTGCACAACGCCAAAAAAGGAGCGCTTCCCGATTGACGAGTGGGAGGGCTGTGAATATGAGTGAGTGAATATGAGTGTGGGCCTGACCAAAGGGCTACACCGGAAGCCGTGTGGACAAGATCAA